GCGATGCACAGTGATGCACATTAATGTCATATCTGTTAATAGACAAATTTAGGATACCGACTATAATGGTTAGCGTAATTATAGCCTAGAATGTTTCTGTATTTCATGTATATATTGTGCTATCATATTCAATACAAGACAGGGGTTTTTGGAAATATTTTTATCATGGTATCGAAGCGAACCAAACTCGATATCCAACGACCGAGAACACAGTCGTACTTCTAAAATGGCGAGAGAGAGGAGAGGCGGTGAAGAAAACACCATCGCCATACGATCCGAGTGCCGGTGATAATCCTGGAAATGTGATTACACAGGTACAATTACGAGGAGAGAATTACGAGGAATGGGCAAGGGCCGTGAAGATATCTCGCGGGCTCGAAGGAAATGGGGTTTCATAGATGGAACTCATAAAGAACCTGAAGAAGACACATCCGAGATAGAAGATTGGTGGACAATTCAATCGATGCTTGTATCTTGGATACTAAACACTATAGAACCTAGTTTGCGTTCCACTCGTTGCATACATGGAAAACGCAAAGGACCTATGGGATGACATCAAGGAACGATTCTCGATCGTGAACGGACCAAGAATCCAGCGAGCTAAAGTCGAGTTGGCAGAATGCAAACAACAAGGAATGACTATGGTTTCCTATTATGGGAAGTTGAAAACGTTGTGGGATGAACTGACAAATTACGAGCAAATCCCACAGTGTAGATGTGGGGGATGCAAGTGTAATATTATGACGCAACTTGAGAAACGAAGAGAAGAAGAAAAAATTCATCGAGTTCTTGATGGGGCTAGATGATGAGGGGCTATGGAACTGCACGGTCAAATGTTTTGGCAACGGATCCATTACCCTCGTTGAATCGGGTGTATGGCACCATGGTGCAAGAAGAAAGGGTGAGAACAATCACCGGGTCTAAAGAAGAGCGAGGAATGATCGTGGGAATGGCTATGCGAGCGGAAACCAGGAACAAGTTGCGCAATGAAGCGAAAGAAAAATCGGTTGTTTGCATGCGAGTGTGGAAGGAAGGGACATGACAAAGGCAATTGCTTCAAGATCATTGGTTACCCGGAATGGTGGGGAGAGAGACCACGAACCGATAGAAACGATGAAAAAAATCAACAAAGAACAGGAACCTTCCGAGGAAAAGGAGGAACGACTCGCGTCAATATGGCGCACACTGGTGCGGATAACGTTGGTTCAACCGAAAAACCGAAGTCGCAGGATCGAGTAATGAGCAATGGCAGATCTTGACAGCAATGTTGAATTCTCGCAAGGCAAATGAAACCGAAAAGATGACTGGTAAGAAAGCATGTGACTTGTGGATTATTGATAGTGGCGCCTCTAATCATATGACAGGAACACTAGAAAACTTGAGGGAGAGTCGAGCCTTGGAAGGGTGCCCAGTGGGACTACCAAATGGTGAATTGGTGCTGGCAAACAAAGAAGGATCGGTTTTCCTTGATGGAGGACTGAAACTTAAACATGTTCTATATGTTCCGAAATTGAATTGCAATTTGATTTCAGTATCACAATTGATGTAATGAAGTAAAATGTACATTACATTTTACTCGATAGATTTTGTGCAATGCAGGACCACACTTCGAGGATGCTGATTGGAGCGGGTGAACGAAAAGAGGGACTCTATTGGTATCGTGGTGTGAGTGGCATAAAGGCGTATCGGACCAATGCGGAAAATCAACTAGAGATTTGGCACAAGCGAATGGGACATCCCGCCTACCAGATTGTTAGAAAAATTCCGCATTCGAACAGGCGTGAATAGAAATACGGATACAACTCGTGTGTGTGAAGTGTGTGAGAGATCAAAGCAATGCAGAAACACATTTCCTTTAAGTGATTTTCAAGCATCCAATATATTTGATTTAATACATTGTGATTTATGGGGTCCATATAGAACTCCCTCGTCTTGTGGTGCATCTTACTTTCTCACTTTGGTTGATGACCGTTCTCGAGCTGTGTGGATATATCTCTTGAATAATAAGAAAGATGTGTCACAAACCTTAATGCATTTCATCGCCTTGATAGAACGACAATACGAGAAACAAGTCAAGATATTACGAAGTGACAATGGAACCGAGTTTATGTGTCTTCAACGATATTTTCAGCAACATGGGATACTCCATCAAACCTCATGCACTTGGAACACCTCAGCAAAATGGGAGAGCCGAACGAAAACATCGACACATCCTAAATGTAGCTCGTGCTCTACGATTTCGGGGAGAACTTCCACTTCAATTCTGGGAGAATGCATTTTGACCGCAGGATACTTGATCAATCGTACACCCTCAACCGTTCTCCATGGAAAAACTCCATATGAAATATTGAATGAGAAGCCACCCACTTATGACCATCTACGGGTATTTGGATGCTTGTGTTATGCACATAACCAAGATAGGAAAGGTGACAAATTTGCAAGTAGAAGTCGCAAGAATGTATTTGTTGGATATTCAATCGAAAAAAGGGCTGGAAATTGTTTGATCTCGGAAAGAGAAGTCTTCTGGACTTCGAGAGATGTTAAGTTTGTAGAACATGAATTCCCGTTTGCCTCTCTTGCCCACAGTAGACATTCGGAGGTAGGATTGCCTCACCGTTGATGTTGGCATTGTCGAGGAAGCATTGCCTGGACTTGGTGCAATGAACAATGCGGAACACGTTGTGGAGACCGATGACGTTAACCCCACAACGAAGATGTGCCCACAACCGAGTTCAGGGAGGGCCACGCTCGAATGCCATGAACAAGAGCCTCCCACCCAGATCGTTCTCCCACCAGAACAAACTGACTCTATGATGACAGAACTAGAGGTTCCTGAGGAGCATACTGTCCCTGCATCCCTGGGGAAAGGTCTTCGTGTACGAAAGCCATCTGTGAAGCTTCGTGATTATGTCACTAACACCACTTTACAACTCGGTCCCTCAATTCGCACTCCACATTCAGCTTCCTCAGGTATGCCTTACAGTTTGACAAAGTACTTAAATTGTGCTAAATTCTCCTTCCCCCACCGAACCTTTCTTGCAGCCCTTCATGCGAGAGAGAACCTGTGCATTTCTTTGAAGCTGTTCGGGATGTTAGATGGAGAGATGCCATGGCTAGTGAAATTCGAGCCCTCCAAAGTAATGAAACATGGGACATTACTCCTCTACGGCAGGGAAGAAGCCTCCGGGTTGCAAGTGGATTTATAAAATCAAATATCATTCGATGGGAGCGTTGAACGCTTCAAAGCCCGATTAGTTGTCTTGGGAAATCACCAAGTTGAGGGATTGACTATGACGAGACCTTTGCCCCGATGGCAAAGATGGTCACCATTCGGACAGTGTTGGCAGTGGCAGTAGCCAAAGACTGGGAACTCCATCAAATGGATGTCCATAATGCTTTTCTGCACGGCGATCTTGAGGAAGATGTGTACATGAAAATGCCGCCAGGGTTCTTGGTGTCTCAAAAGGGTATGGTGTGTCGTCTCCGCAAGTCCCTTTATGGTCTTCGTCAAGCTCCTCGGTGTTGGTTTGCCAAGCTCTCAACTGCTCTTGTTCAATATGGGTTTCAACGTTCTTCGTCCGATCACTCCTTGTTCATCTTTCGCAAAGGAGATGTCGAACTGGTTGTGTTAGTTTACGTGGATGACCTAGTCATTGCTGGCAATCATCATGAAGACATTGCGCAATTCAAAGATTATCTTCATCAATGTTTTCGTATGAAGGACTTAGGGAAATTAAAATACTTTCTTGGGGTGGAGGTTGCCAGATCTCCTACAGGAATTTTCTTGTGTCAACGGAAGTATGCGTTGGACATCATAGCTGAAGCAGGATTGCTTGGAGGGAAACCTGTGTCCACGCCAATCGAAGAAAATCATCGTTTAGCATTGGTCGATGGCGAACTACTTTCGACCCGAGTCAATATCGACGTCTCGTCGGTCGCCTTATTTACTTGTGTTTTACACGACTCGAATTATCTTACAGTGTTCATGTCCTATCTCAATTCATGCACCAACCGCGTCAGGAGCATTGGCGGGCTGCACTCCGCGTGGTATGCTATTTAAAGGGCAGCACTGGGTCGGGGTGTGCTTTTAAAAGAGAGAGTGACCTTCGTCTTTATGGTTGGTGTGACTCGGATTGGGCAAGTTGTCCTCTCACTCGAAGATCTCTCACCGGTTGGTTTATTTTCCTTGGTCAATCCCCCGTTTCCTGGAAAACCAAGAAGCAACATACGGTTTCTCGATCATCCGCTGAGGCAGAATATCGTTCTATGGCCAACACGACATGTGAGTTGAAATGGCTTCAAGGCCTTCTTTCGAGCCTAGGCATTACTCACACCGACCCTATGACTCTCTACTGTGACAACCAAGCTGCCCTTCACATTGCCAAGAATCCTGTGTTTCATGAACGGACAAAACATATTGAAGTGGATTGTCATCTTATTCGTGATGAAATACAACACAATCATATCCAACCCTCCTATGTGTCCACTCATCATCAACTGGCTGATCTCTTCACCAAATCTCTTGGCGCCACTAAATTTGGTTCTTTTTTAGGTAAGTTGGGCATTCATAACCTTCATACTCCATCTTGAGGGAGGGTGATAAACATGGAATATACGATTACAAATACCGTATCATGTCATGATTCTACATGATTATTTTTTTCCATATTTAGTTTGGCATGACAGCGATGCACAGTGATGCACATTAATGTCATATCTGTTAATAGACAAATTTAGGATACCGACTATAATGGTTAGCGTAATTATAGCCTAAAATGTTTCTGTATTTCATGTATATATTGTGCTATCATATTCAATACAAGACAGGGGTTTTTGGAAATATTTTTATCAGTCTCACACTCTTACCAATCGAGAGAGAATTTGTGAGGATACCTACTAGTTTACTTCTACTGATTTGAGTGGATTTGGGATGATAGAGAGATGAGTCTCACACACTCACATGTCCACTCTGAAATGGTGGGATGATGGATAAATGGGTCTCACACACTTACAAATTCACCCTGAAATGGTGAGAAATTATAAAAAAAGTGGGTGACTGAGTAACAAATATTTAAATTTCCTTGTTAACTTTTTTATTTTACATGAATATTTCATTCCATTAAATAAGAGTAATTTAGTCATTACACCAAAAATATTATTATTCAATTATCATATATTCAATCATATAAGTTATAATAAATTCACTTAAGTTTTTTCAAATCCTATATATTTTTCTCAATCCAAACAACTCTACAAATTCACTAAAACCACCTCAAATTCACATCATCAAATCCCTACCCTAATCCAAATACAAACTAAAGGAGAAAATTGGATCTAACTAATAACTTTACATATCCACTAAAATCACCTCAAATTCACATCATCAAATTCCTACCCTAATCCAAACACAAACTAAAGGAGAAAATTGGATCTAGTGGAGTAATTTTACTGGTATATTCAGGATTTTTTTTATATATTTTTTAGGTATATTTGAGGAATAAATTCCACTCCCCCTGTACTATATAAATTAGCCCAAAATATTTTTTCCAAATATTTCATGCTATCATTTATATACATGTGCTATATATATACATGTGCTATATATATATATATATATATATATGCTATGACATGTTGCGCCTTTCCAATTCTACCATATAAAAAGGTTGGATAATTATTAAAAATGCATTTTACAATTGAATTGTATAACTTTTGGATGAAAAGGTGTACCAGGCAGCATAACATGATTCTATTATATTTCAAATTTTGCAGCAAAGATAGAAAAAATACATGGTTAAGGTAACCTTAAACTACAATTAAACAATTTTGCTAAAAATAAGATGAATCATCATACTAAAAGCAAACTAAATTTACACAAAAACATAAACATGGGACCTCATATACCCTACCCCCATCAGGCACTCTAAACAGATGAGTCAAGAAGAATCATCATCAAAATTCTAATCCCTCCTCAAAAGGCCATAACCAAAAACATTCAAGAACTGCTTAAACTGGTGGCAACAGGAATAACAATAACCAGAATAAGAATAAGCAGCAGTATGATCCCAATACACATCCACTTCCTGCTACTCTTCTGGTACTCCTTCGCACTCTGTAGATTCTTGGTCCCATCCTTAACATAGTGCGAAGCGTGCAACACGTGATGCTCAATGTCATCCATTTTCTCACCCTGTGCCTCAACCATCACGGCCATGTCCAGAAACACCTGGTGCAGCTCCAGCAAACTCTTCTCCACTTCCTTAGCAGCATCATGCCTGTCCTGAATCTCCACCACAGTTTCCAGAACCTTTCCTCTCCCATGTTCCTGAATGGCCTTCCCCAAAACCTCTTCCTCATTACCATTGGCTATGATCTTCTCAATCACCTCTTCATCTGGGTACTCCCCAGTCACTGTAAAGTACCTAATGGATTTTACAAAATACAACATATTACAGAAATTAAGTCACTGTGAATTCACGATACATAACACAAATTAATCAAAGAATTGCTCAATGACCTAATTATAATATTTTTTTGTTTAGGGATTAAAATTTATCAAGTTCAGACTTGCTAATCAGTTTAACCTAATTTAATTCATATAGTCTATAGATTAGAGTATAATCACTTTTATTCTTAAATTGAGAAGAAAATTTTATCTGGTATGTGCAGATTTTTACCTTCTCCCCACAGTATCTTTGTACTCGCTCATCATCCTCTGCCTCAACCCCTGAAACTCCATCATCAGCTCCTTCAGCTTCTTCCTCAGTCCATTGGTAACAGCGATTCGGGTCCGGTAGATGGCCGGAGTCCCATCCTTCAGACCGGAGAGCCTCCGGTTGGCGGCGTTGGCGCGGTCCATCTCCTCCAGCTGGGCCCTGATCGCCCTGGCCTTCTTCAGCACGGCGACAATGTCGGCGTTAATCCGGCTCCGGAGCGCCTTGAGCGCCTCAGCCTTGTGTAGGGACTTGCTCTCCTCGTTGGCCTGTTGCAGGCTGCCCAGGATGTCTCTGAGTGACCCCATTTCAGTCTTCACCTTCTCAGCCTCTTCCAAGAAGAGACCCATGTCAGTGTCCAAGTGGGTTATGGAGGAGGTTAGTTCCACATTGGGAGGAACAGCGATACCCGCTTCCAAATCAACGTCTTTCATCGCAGCTTTCTTTAAATCTACGTAGCTGGTGAAGGACTTGGTCATTAGATCGTTCATTTTGGAAACTTTAGAGGTGGAATCAGAAATTGGTGTATGATAGCAAAATGAGAAAGAGAAAATGATGAGAATAGAAAGGGAGTGTGATGGAAAATGAAATGAAGTTACGAGAGTTTTATGAGCTGTGAAAGGGTAACGGATAGTTTTTTTTTATGAGAAAGTAGCCGTTGAGGTCGATCAAGCCAAATCCAACGGCTCTTTTTCAAATTTTCGGTTATTTAGTCAGTTAATAATATTAAATCACTTTTTAAATTGAATTTTGTTTAGTTTAGAAAGTAGGGGTTATTTGAGCTTAATAGTGAATTAGATATGGTAAATTGATTGAAAAAAAAAAAAACTAGAATCTAACTTTCTTTTAGGAGAGTTTTTCTTTACGTAAGTGAATAATTTGGATATAAATATACATTGTCAATTTAATCCTTAAAAAAATTATTCCTAAAATAAATTATAATTAAAATTGAGATGTGATATTAGTTTAGTGACAAAATAGTTATTAATCTATTGCAAAATTGGTTCTTAAAAATATATTTTGATAATAAAGTAGTTGAAAAAAATTTATGAGTAGATATAATTATAAGACATTTGACAATATATTTAATAATATATTTTTGTTTCAAGTACCAATATTTTTTTAAAATAGAATATTTAATAAATAATACAATTTTGATTTAAGTTTTTTTGAAAAAATGTTTAAAATATATGTCACGTATGTACGAAGAGTAATATATTCTAAATTCCTTCTATTACATGTCTTCACAATTCATTATATTACATACTCATAAGTTACATCATAAAAAAAAATTATTATAATAAAAAAATAAGTTAAGTGAAAAAAATATAAATATTTTAAAGGTCACTTTAAAACATCAACATAACAATAATAATGAATTGAAAAAAATATATTTTAAAAGTTAAAACCTAAAATATTTTTTATAACTATTTCGTTAAAATATTTTTTGTATTTTAATTTTAAAAAATATCGATAAAAATTGTTTTCATTATTATAAAATTATCAAAATATTTTTAATGATAACTTCACTAGTGAAAAACATATATTCAAAGACATATTAAGCCACTTATTCGATCGAGTATAATAAAAACAGACATAATAAGTTTTTAGAGTTTCACATATAGGTTTAATCTCGCATGTTGTATTATATTCTTCTTCGTCTTCCCACAATATTTTCATTCTCCTCCATGCTGCACAATTTTATCTTTATTATTGTCGACCCCCATTGTTTGTGTTTGAGTTTCAGTTCTTCATCGCGTTGTGCTTTCTTCTTCTTCCCCTTCCTGCGATATGACAATCTTCTTCTACACTGCACAATTCGCTTTCCGTTATCGTCAACGTGCATTGTCTTTGTTCGAGTTATAGTTTTCCTTCCTCTGATTAAGTTATAGTTCTTCTTCATCTATTTTTTCTATTGTCTCTCCTTCTATTTTCGCATCTATTAGCAATTTCAAATTTCACGCACTGAGTTTTTATTTTTGGTTTAAAATTTGATTTCATTGTTGAAAAAATATATATATATATATATATATATATATATATATATATATATATGATGATGATAAATATGGAGTGATTGAATGTGGTAGGTGTTTGAAAAGGTTTTTTGGATGTTCGTGGGACATTGAAAGTGTTGAATATTCTCAATTGGAGATATCTTTAAGGAACACGTCCTAAAAGATTAATTAAGACAATTTCCAATTTTTAAGTTTACTCCTTTATATTTAGTTTTTATTTTTCTTTATTTAAAGTTTAGGATTGGAATGATTGAAACTAGAATAATTAGATTAAAAAAAAATGGGTTTTCTAAAAATTGTGAGTTGTAGGTGTGAATATTAAAATAGTGTTCAAAGCTTTATGAGGAATTGAATGTTAATTTATGTAAAGGCCTAAGAGATTATTGAATGTATTTTGTATAAGTGAAAAATATACTTACTTAATTTAATTAGATAAGGTAATTAAATATCATTTTCTCTGTATTTAAACCGTACTTAATAATAACAAATCGATCGTTTAGGATTTGAAATGGAACAATAGATTGAGATAGAAATATACATAAAAATTGTTTCAGTTAGTTATATATACAAAGTTTAGAATGGAAGTAGAATAAAAAACCTTTTTATATTGCAAGAATGGATCCTCCTTCCTAATTAATTACATTTCAAATGGCAGGTCTGTTTAACCAGAATAACTAAATCACAAAATGCATAGGCTGTGATTGGAACCCAACTCCTAGAAACTAAGTGTCAGGCGCAAAACTGCCCACCACCAGGTCTAGTTGAATTATGGATGACAAAGTAATTCATATAAAACATAACAATTATTTAGATATTATCCACGCTGCAACTTCTTTATAATATCATCAAGCACGCTCTTATGAATTGTATGAATATTTAAAAAAGTCAAAGACAATTGATTGTGTTTGCCATCGCAGCAAAATAAAATAAGTCATCAGTCTATCTATAAAATAATAATCTTTCCTGAAGTAAACAAATAATACTCCACACTTTAGAGGTTACTTGTATAATTATTGCTCCTAAAGTTCCCAAAATAAAGTAATCCCTCAAGTAATAGAAATTATACTAAATATATCCGTAGATGGCTCGGGGACTAGTGGACCAGATAGCAAAACTGGTTTTCCAAATTGTTTTTCTATGTACTCTAAGTAAGGTCCTTCTATTTGCTATGGCTACTTTAGAGACACATAAGGTTCCTGAATTGCCAAAACTAGAGCAGCCTAAGGTCCCAAAAATACCCAAGATTCCTATAAATAAAGTAGTATCCTTCCTTCAGCAATCACTTCAAAGCATCATCATAACTTGGCAAATGAAGTTCCAAAAACCAACATTCGCAGAGTGAAGTTTGTGTAACAAAATCTGTGATAGAGGAACCTGAATATATATCATCTTCATTGCTTCGTTTGTGCAATATGTCAATGGCAATGTGATACTTTGAGTCCTGAGATAGTGATAAACATAGAATATACGATTACAAATACCGTATCATGCCATGATTCTACATGATTATTTTTTTCCATATTTAGCTTGGCATGACAGCGATGCACAGTGATGCACATTAATGTCATATCTGCTAATAGACAAATTTAGGATACCGACTATAATGGTTAGCATAATTATAGCCTAGAATGTTTCTGTATTTCATGTATATATTGTGCTATCATATTCAATACAAGACAAGGGTTTTTTGGAAATATTTTTATCATGGTATCAGAGCGAACCAAACTTTGATATCCAACAGCCCGAGAACACAGTCGTACTTCTAAAATGGCAGAGAGAGGAGAGACGGTGAAGAAAACACCATCGCCATACGATCTGAGTGGCAGTGATAATCCTGGAAATGTGATTACACAGGTACAATTACGAGGAGAGAATTACGAGGAATGGGCAAGGGCCGTGAAGATATCTCTGCGGGCTCGAAGGAAATGGGGTTTCATAGATGGAACTCATAAGGAACCTGAAGAAGACACATCTGAGATAGAAGATTGGTGGACAATTCAATCGATGCTTGTATCTTGGATACTAAACACTATAGAACTTAGTTTGCGTTCCACTGTTGCATACATGGAAAACGCAAAGGACCTATGGGATGACATCAAGGAACGATTCTCGATCGTGAACGGACCAAGAATCCAGCAGCTAAAGTCAGAGTTGGCAGAATGCAAACAACAAGGAATGACTATGGTTTCCTATTATGGGAAGTTGAAAACGTTGTGGGATGAACTGGCAAATTACGAGCAAATCCCACGAGTGTAGATGTGGGGGATGCAAGTGTAATATTATGACGCAACTTGAGAAACGAAGAGAAGAAGAAAAAATTCATCGAGTTCTTGATGGGGCTAGATGATGAGGGCTATGGAACTGCACGGTCAAATGTTTTGGCAACGAGATCCATTACCCTCGTTGAATCGGGTGTATGGCACCATGGTGCAAGAAGAAAGGGTGAGAACAATCACCAGGTCTAAAGAAGAGCGAGGAATGATCGTGGGAATGGCTATGCGAGCGGAAACCGGGAACAAGTTGCGCAATGAAGCGAAAGAAAAATCAGTTGTTTGCATGCGGTGTGGAAGGAAGGGACATGACAAAGGCAATTGCTTCAAGATCATTGGTTACCCAGAATGGTGGGGAGAGAGACCACGAACCGATAGAAACGATGAAAAAAATCAACAAAGAACAGGAACCTTCCGAGGAAAAGGAGGAACGGCTCGCGTCAATATGGCGCACACTGGTGCGGATAACGTTGGTTCAACCGAAAAACCGAAGTCGCGGGACTGAGTAATGAGCAATGGCGAGATCTTGACAAGCAATGTTGAATTCTCGCAAGGCAAATGAAGCTGAAAAGATGACTGGTAAGAAAGCATGTGACTTGTGGATTATTGATAGTGGCGCCTCTAATCATATGACAGGAACACTAGAAAACTTGAGGGAGAGTCGAGCCTTGGAAGGGTGCCCAGTGGGACTACCAAATGGTGAATTGGTGCTGGCAAACAAAGAAGGATCGGTTTTCCTTGATGGAGGACTGAAACTTAAACATGTTCTATATGTTCCGAAATTGAATTGCAATTTGATTTCGAGTATCACAATTGACGAATGAAGTAAAATGTACATTACATTTTACTGATAGATTTTGTGCAATGCGGGACCACACTTCGAGGATGCTGATTGGAGCGGGTGAACGAAAAGAGGGACTCTATTGGTATCGTGGTGTGAGTGGCATAAAGGCGTATCAGACCAATGCAGAAAATCAACTAGAGATTTGGCACAAGCGAATGGGACATCCTGCCTACCAGATTGTTAGAAAAATTCCGCATCTGAACAGCGTGAATAGAAATACGGATACAACTCGTGTGTGTGAAGTGTGTGAGAGATCAAAGCAATGCAGAAACACATTTCCTTTAAGTGATTTTCAAGCATCCAATATATTTGATTTAATACATTGTGATTTATGGGGTCCATATAGAACTCCCTCGTCTTGTGGTGCATCTTACTTTCTCACTTTGGTTGATGACTGTTCTCGAGCTGTGTGGATATATCTCTTGAATAATAAGAAAGATGTGTCACAAACCTTAATGCATTTCATCGCCTTGATAGAACGACAATACGAGAAACAAGTCAAGATATTACGAAGTGACAATGGAACTGAGTTTATGTGTCTTCAACGATATTTTCAGCAACATGGGATACTCCATCAAACCTCATGCACTGGAACACCTCAGCAAAATGGGAGAGCCGAACGAAAACATCGACACATCCTAAATGTAGCTCGTGCTCTACGATTTCGGGGAGAACTTCCACTTCAATTCAGGGAGAATGCATTTTGACCAGCAGGATACTTGATCAATCGTACACCCTCAACCGTTCTCCATGGAAAAACTCCATATGAAATATTGAATGGGAAGCCACCCACTTATGACCATCTACGGGTATTTGGATGCTTGTGTTATGCACATAACCAAGATAGGAAAGGTGACAAATTTGCAAGTAGAAGTCGCAAGAATGTATTTGTTGGATATTCAATCGAAAAAAGGGCTGGAAATTGTTTGATCTGGAAAGAGAAGTCTTCGGACTTCGAGAGATGTTAAGTTTGTAGAACATGAATTCCGTTTGCCTCTCTTGCCCACGGTAGACATTCGGAGGTAGGATTGCCTCACTGTTGATGTTGGCATTGTCGAGGAAGCATTGCCTGGACTTGGTGCAATGAACAATGCGAGAACACGTTGTGGAGACTGATGACGTTAACCCCACAACAGAAGATGTGCCCACAACCGAGTTCGGGGAGGGCCACGGCTGAATGCCATGAACAAGAGCCTCCCACCCGGATCGTTCTCCCACCGGAACAAACCGACTCTATGATGACGGAACTAGAGGTTCCTGAGGAGCATACTGTCCCTGCATCCCGGGGAAAGGTCTTCGTGTACGAAAGCCATCCGTGAAGCTTCGTGATTATGTCACTAACACCACTTTACAACTCGGTCCCTCAATTCGCACTCCACATTCGGCTTCCTCGGGTATGCCTTACGGTTTGACAAAGTACTTAAATTGTGCTAAATTCTCCTTCCCCCATCGAACCTTTCTTGCAGCCCTTCATGCGGAGAGAGAACTCGTGCATTTCTTTGAAGGCTGTTCGGGATGTTAGATGGAGAGATGCCATGGCTAGTGAAATTCGGGCCCTCCAAAGTAATGAAACATGGGACATTACTCCTCTACCTAGCAGGGAAGAAGCCTCCGGGTTGCAAGTGGATTTATAAAATCAAATATCATTCGATGGGAGCGTTGAACGCTTCAAAGCCCGATTAGTTGTCTTGGGAAATCACCAAGTTGAGGGGATTGACTATGACGAGACCTTTGCCCCAGTGGCAAAGATGGTCACCATTCGGACGAGTGTTGGCGGTGGCGGTAGCCAAAGACTGGGAACTCCATCAAATGGATGTCCATAATGCTTTTACGCACGGCGATCTTGAGGAAGATGTGTACATGAAAATGCCGCCGGGGTTCTTGGTGTCTCAAAAGGGTATGGTGTGTCGTCTCCGCAAGTCCCTTTATGGTCTTCGTCAAGCTCCTCGGTGTTGGTTTGCCAAGCTCTCAAGCTGCTCTTGTTCAATATGGGTTTCAACGTTCTTCGTCCGATCACTCCTTGTTCATCTTTCGCAAAGGAGATGTCGAACTGGTTGTGTTAGTTTACGTGGATGACCTAGTCATTGCTGGCAATCATCATGAAGACATTGCGCAATTCAAAGATTATCTTCATCAATGTTTTCGTATGAAGGACTTAGGGAAATTAAAATACTTTCTTGGGGTGGAGGTTGCCGGATCTCCTACAGGAATTTTCTTGTGTCAACGGAAGTATGCGTTGGACATCATAGGCTGAAGCGAGGATTGCTTGGAGGGAAACCTGTGTCCACGCCAATCGAAGAAAATCATCGTTTAGCATTGGGCGATGGCGAACTACTTTCCGACCCGAGTCAATATCGACGTCTCGTCGGTCGCCTTATTTACTTGTGTTTTACACGACCTGAATTATCTTACAGTGTTCATGTCCTATCTCAATTCATGCACCAACCGCGTCAGGGAGCATTGGCGGGCTGCACTCCGCGTGGTACGCTATTTAAAGGGCAGCCGGGTCGGGGTGTGCTTTTAAAAAGAGAGAGTGACCTTCGTCTTTATGGTTGGTGTGACTCGGACTGGGCAAGTTGTCCTCTCACTCGAAGATCTCTCACCTAGGTTGGTTTATTTTCCTTGGTCAATCCCCGTTTCTGGAAAACCAAGAAGCAACATACGGTTTCTCGATCATCCGTCGAGGCGGAATATCGTTCTATGGCCAACACGACATGTGAGTTGAAATGGCTTCAAGGCCTTCTTTCGAGCCTAGGCATTACTCACACCGACCCTATGACTCTCTACTGTGACAACCAAGCTGCCCTTCACATTGCCAAGAATCTTGTGTTTCATGAACGGACAAAACATATTGAAGTGGATTGTCATCTTATTCGTGATGAAATACAACACAATCATATCCAACCCTCCTATGTGTCCACTCATCATCAAATGGCTGATCTCTTCACCAAATCTCTTGGCGCCACTAAATTTGGTTCTTTTTTAGGCAAGTTGGGCATTCATAACCTTCATACTCCATCTTGAGGGAGGGTGATAAACATAGAATATACGATTACAAATACCGTATCATGCCATGATTCTACATGATTATTTTTTTCCATATTTAGCTTGGCATGACAGCGATGCACAGTGATGCACATTAATGTCATATCTGCTAATAGACAAATTTAGGATACCGACTATAATGGTTAGCGTAATTATAGCCTAGAATGTTTCTGTATTTCATGTATATATTGTGCTATCATATTCAATACAAGACAAGGGTTTTTTGGAAATATTTTTATCAGATAGATTCTTAAAGGATGGCGAAGTGAGAGCAAGAATAGATCAGGTATAGAGAAAATGATGAAAGTTTGTGCCATTGATGCTATTTTGTGGTCTTGGCCTGACCATAAGAGGATTCTCTTCATGTTGAGCCACATGAATGAGATGGGGATGGATGTTGAGAGGAGAAGGAGCACCGTTCTCTGCAGTGTCAAGCCAAGTAGCTTCCATTGCTTTGCTCCATAAGCTTGTCCACAAATAGGTTCCATCCCCATGGCTAATCCAGAGATCACAGAGTAGCCAATGATGTTGGCAAAACCAATAGAGAGAGACCCTCTAGCTAGTCCCTCCTCACCAAGATAGCCAAGGAAAATCATAGAGATCATAGCTCTTGAATACATGACTAAACCAGTGATGGTTGTTGGGCCTGATATCATCCCTATTGCCTTGATTGCTGCTATGGCCTGAATCAATGGAGAAACACAAAAGAGAAATTCAATAGTTGATTAATATTAATAGTATGTATGTCTAACCATATAAACTGACACTGTTATTTGTTTTTGGTTTCACTAAACAAGTGATACAGTAGCATTAGTAACTTATTTAATTCACTTTAACATAAAAACAAAACAATATGTATATATGGTATTACTACTTGTTTTTCCTTGTATTAACTAGATTATGTTTCATGACCTCATTAAAATTGTCTGAAAATATATGATCTTTAAAATAATATCAGAAAGGTCAATATTTATACATATTTTAATTTAGAGAGAATGTCAAAGAAAGATCAAACATTATAATTTGCATCCCCATGTTTGTAAGTGTACGTGAGAACCTAATTTTGCATATTAAAAAGTGAAAACACAATTGGGTGTGTGGCATAAGAAGCATTATGGGGTGATAAGTGTTTTTCTTTATCATTGAGTGTGGAGAAGAAATAAGTCCAAAGCTATCTTTAGGACGGTGAAACTCACGAAAATAAATAAAGAAAAGAAAAATGCCTTTATTCGCTTTAATGATTTTATTAATTATTTTTAATATAATAGTTAAAATGAGTTATTATTTATATTATTATATTTATGAAAAATAAATTATAATAATTAGAAATTTTAAAATAAGGAATCCCCTTTAATATATAGTAGCAGAATTTCAGGGACCTTAGGTTTCAATATATGAGTAAGATATTTTTATTTTGATCTAGTTTTAGAGAAATCCTCTAAAATGTTTTTTCTAAAAATTAATAACACACCTCTAGTTGATGTTGCAAAACTTATTCATGGATCGAAGTTAGATCAATCTTAGACGTACAATCTATAAATATAAGAATGAAGTAGAACAATTTTTTGAATTTGTAAAATAAAATGTTCCATATAATAATGGAAGATTCTATTGCCCTTGTATTGATTGTTTGAATGAGCAAAAACTATCAATACAAGTTACACATGAACATGTTCTGTGTGATGGTTTCCTAAAGAGTTAGACAAAGTGGACATGACATGGTGAATTAATACACATATCAAATCTATATGTGTCTGAAACAGAAATTAATGTAGAGATGAATGATCAATTTGAAGAAATGATTCATTACATGATGTATTCCATAATTTGTGCAATGATGTAGAGAAACTTTTGTATCTGAGATGCATTAATGATCTTTAATTACATATATGTTACCCTTATAAATGATTGTTATTATTGCGAAGAAGATGAACTTTTCATGCAGCTTTGTTTAATGTCAATTATACATCTTATTATTTGTTAATTATTATTTTTAATTATTTACGGATTAAATAAATATTGATTTTGTAGATATTCAATAATCTATACCTATTGAAAGAAGTAGTTATAGAAGATAAGAGAATACAATGAATTTCCTATTTTTTAAGTATTTTTTATAATTTGTAAATTATTTTAACTTAGAATGATTTTGTATATTATTATTAAATATATTATGTATTTATTGAGTATATAATATGCTTGAAAATTATATATTTATTATTATGCAAAAATTATTTAAAAAAACTATAATTTTTTATATCGATTACAAATATAACCGACATAAAATGTACACTTTCTATGATACGTCATACTAAAATTATCGTAAAAAGTGAAATTTTCTATGACGATTAAGATAATAACTGTCATAGAAAGTATCTACACCAAATTCATTTTTTATCTTTTTTTTTTTACTTTTATGATGGTTGGAAATGTAACCAATAAAAAGTGATTTTTTAATTTGTTTTAAAAATTGACATAAAAAATGAAATTTTTTTATATTTTCTGTATTTATGTCGGTTTAAAAACTAACATAAAATATCTAAAATAATCAACATAAAAAAAGTCTTTCTCTAATCGTGTTCTAGTATATTACGTGAAATCAATTAAAAATATCTTGTATCTCTTCTTTTTGTATGATGGTGAATAAAATAAAAATTATTATTACCAAGAATAAAATTTGGTTCTCCAAAAATCAAATTTTAAAATTGAATAATAAATAGATCTAATTCTATAATTATTTATAACATAAATTAAATCATATAATTTAAAAAAACGTATTAAAAAGCCTTTAATGTTTATTAATATTATTTTTGCTATTATAATGACTGTTTTAAATAATTTATAAAATATTTCTTAGGCGCTCAATTTATTTTTTTCATAATAGATAAATTTTTCAATCATATAATAATAATAATAATAATAATTATTATTATTATTATTATTATTATTATTATTATTATTATTCCTTATTGCAAATAGGAATTTTTACATATGTTATTTTGACAATTTTATGTCAAATATAAGTTTGATGTTAATGTAGAAGACGTAAATTTACGTCGACCATAATATGGTCTAACATAAGTTTATGTCGAGTATTGACATACCCAATGTAAATTTCTTCCTTTTGTATATTTGGTTTTTTTTTTCTTACAACAAAAACTTACAAACATATTTAATCATAGACAATCTAGATTCTAGATTTTCAATAGAAAATAATTCAAAATACAATAATACAAGTACAATATAATAAAAATTATAAAAGTTAAACTAGTACAAAGACTAAATTACTTAAAAGTTAAACTAATACAAAGTCTAAATTACTTAAAAGTTAAACTAATACAAAGTCTAAACTAGTACAAAACTAAGTTACTTAAATGCTAAACTACATAATACAATATAATATAAATAATAACCTACAAGTACTATAAATGTTGAATGAAAAACTTTGTTCATTGTTCTCTAATTTGTGTAATATTATGTTATAATAGTGGAGATGAATCTTGAAATACTTGAAACATTAATTTAACTCTTGTTAATATGCAATACACATAAATGTAAATTAACTTAACAAATATTATAAGCAATTACCTCCGTCTAAGAATTAGTTATACATGCACAAACTATAACTCTTATCTAATACATGATATAATAGCCACATTCAAATGAGTTTGTTTACTTATTATACTCGAAATAAGAAACCAAATATAATGTTATTTTCAAAATTTAAATTTAAACAATAATTATGGTGTTTATATAAATAAGTTTCCGACATTAAGATAAATACAAGTACAAATTCTTTGTTTTAAGTCTTCCACTTAGAATATTAGTTCCGATATACGATTCTAATTGAAATAAAGTTAGATATTATTGTTAAATGGTAAAAAGTTGATATAATTATACCTTGAATTGTTATGAAACCACTTAACTGATGTTAATTCTAATCTATTTTTCTCCCAATATAGAATGAATTCGAGAATACCTTGATACAAGAGTAAGGAGCATAATTGGAGTAAAACTGGAAGAAGGAAGAAGATTTTCAGCATGGAAGTCGCTCGAACGGGATGGATTCTCGCTTGAGCGAATGTTAGTTATTCTTCTCTGGAGTTCACTCGCTCAAGCGAGCCAAGATTCGCTTGAGCGAATATCAGTTATTCTTCTCTAGAAGTTAGTCGCTCAAGCGCAGGAAAATTCGTTTGAACGAATGTTAGTTATTCTTCTTTGGAGTTCATTCGCTCAAGCGAGCGTTTTGTCGCTTGAGTGAAAACAGGCTACTTTCGCTTAAGCGAAAGTTCTCACTCGAACAAAAGACGCAAAGCCCAAAAGCCCAAATTTTTTCAATAAAAAGAGAACATATGTTTTGAGAAAAGCAAGCGGTTTTGGAGGAGAAAAGGCGCAACTACTGTTAGAGTTTCGTCCAATCTTCATCAATTCTTCACTTCTTCCACAATTTGAGCATTGTAATGGCCAACATGAGTAGCTAATTTCATTCTCTTAGGATTCGGTGCACTTCCTTTGAACTCTTTTGTATCATGGTGATATTTTGATATATTAATCTATGTTTTGATGTTGTTATTCTTATTCTTTGTGCTTTAGAATGATTTATTCTTGATGTTTGAGGTACGATTGAAAAATATATCTTGAACCCTAGATCACGGTAAGAATATTTGTTACGTTAATTGCCAGGAATGGAATGAATGTATCAATTGCTTAACACCCTAAACCTAATGCTGGAAAATCTCTTAATTGTGTGACGAATCAACATTTATTAGGTTTTCTTATGAATTTCATGTGTGAGGAATCAACATGGATGATTTGAGTAGGTGACATCAATATTGTTAGGTTAATTGACATTCTTAATTGACATAGTCACTACAAAAGAGGGATAAGGAAATCAATCCTAAGTACCTTTAATTGATATTTTCTCAACAATTTACATTTCTTTGTCATTTAATTTCAATTCAACTCTTTATGCAAAACTCATTCTGTTTTAATCTACTTAGTAAACATAAAATTGAGAATTTCCATTGAAACCGTTCCTCGTGGGATCGACTTTTATTTAATCGAAATACTATATTGCGATTGATAATTTTGGTACGTTTGTCAATAATTCAACAATTATTCAATATATATTTACACATAATGAAAAAGGATAAAATTGCCCTTGTAATAGGTTTTTCATTTCTTGACTTGACTTTCGGTGCAATGAATAAAATCACACCACAGTGTAATCCTTGAGAATGATTACAATTAACTATCAGTGAGACTTACATTATATGACATAAAAATTAGTTATAAAATTAACATGATTAAAAAATACAAATTAAAATACTAACCCTTCAATGTATGAAGACAAATATATATGTTTTTGTGAGTCACTCATCCATGTTTGAATATATTGTTGGATTTTGACTTCCGTATTCCCAGATTTTTGGATGGATTGAGGCTAAATAAACTCATATACTTCAAATTTCTTTTTTTCACACTCAATTTGTCAATAAACCTAAAACAATGAATTAAAGTTAAATATAGTTATTATAATATTAGAAACATAAATGAAAATGACTTATATGACCTACAAGTATATGATGGAAATGTTTAACATGTAATTTCTAATGCATTGGGCAAAGAAATGTACAGTGGAATAACATAATTGTAAAGTTCAAACACTCTGGTGTCCCATTATATTTGATACGGTCTCTTCCTCAACCATAATAATATGGTAAAAAATATAGATATGAGATCATCTTTAGATTTTGTGACGTCCTCATCAAATGATAACAATTAATTAAACATTCATATAATTATAAGAAGAGAAGCGAAGAGAAAATACAAAATACACAATATATAAATTACCTTTGTCTGTGCTGAGAGTGACATCATTAAACGTCTTGGCCAAGCCAAGAATATGTTGTTTGTCTGCCCCACTAGTTGAATATCTTCGTTAAGAAAAGACACTGGAGCATCAACATCATGAACTTTATCAATTATTATCTTGTCCAGTCTGTCTGTAGAGGGACACCGTGGATAGTTAAGTCACCCTCAAAAACTCGACCAACCGCCATTAGATGTGAGAGGTCATCTTCAACATATAACTCACACTAGTGTGATGCATCAATGTGAGTATATTCCCCTGAGGGATCTACAACAACAAACAACAAACAACAAAATATATGAGATTCAAACAACTAAATCATGAGAACATAAATATGCACTATACAAACCGGAAATGCACTTAAACAAATAAGCAAATAATTACAAACTACAACAATTCAATTTCAATAACAATGCAATGGAGATATTCATGCAATAACGTGATTGAAATCCCTAGAAACAAATATAGATTCAATTTGAACATAAAAGGGAAGACATAAAACGCTAACCTCAAAGATGTAAAAAACATTCTAAAACTTGAATACAATAAAAAAGAAACATCAACTACAAAAAATGGGACACAATATAAGTGTTGTCGTTGTTCACTGTTGTTAAAATGTATCCTGAAAGAAGTTGAAATGGTTGTTTCCGCTATCATCACTCAAAAATTCTCACGCGTGCGAGAAGAGGAAATTTGGATGAAAATAAAACATAACATTTACCTCGAATCTCACAATGACCAACATAAAAAATTCTGTTCTTATTTACAAAAATATCGTCACATTTTTTGTTAAGTAAAATATTTTTGGGTTCAATAAAATATAAATGAGGTAAAAAACTTATTACTATAAAAAAAAAACCTTATATATATAATTCTTTCCTTGTCTAAGATCATCTTCGATGGACACTTGAATAATAGAAGTGACAAAAATATAATATAAAAGACTTAAATCAATTTTTTTTAATTGATATCTAATTAAATTTTTTTATTAAATATTCACATAAATTTTGAGAACATGAAACTTATTTAAGTTTATATATTCACAAGTTGAATTACAAGCGCTTATGTTTTCCTTTCCTTGTTTTTTCAGCTTATGAAACTGATAAAACACAATCTTGGAGTTCGTATCGACACACTTTTATCGTTCCTGCTATCTTGATCCAATACAACCTCTTAGCTTCATTGTTCACTTCGTTTTCTAATCAAAAGCAAGGAAAAGGGAAAAAAACCCAAAACAGGGAAGAAAAGAAACTTTGATGCAAAACTATTGCCCGATCCGAAGGGTGAAAAGCGAAGGGATCCAAAGGAAAAGAATAGCAAGAAAAGATGGTTAGTGCAATGAAAGCAGCCATTGGAGATTTGCTGATGACTTTCTTGTGGGTCTTCTTTTCCTCCATGTTGGGTTTGGCTACCAACGTCATAACAACAGCGCTTGATCTTCATCACGCGTCTTACAATGGTTTTGATTACGCTGGCACTGTGATCATCACTTCGCTCATATTTATTCTCGTTACCATCTTCACCGTCATTGGCAATGCCTTGGGCGGTGCCAGCTTCAACCCCACCGGTAATGCTGCATTCTACGCCGCTGGTGTTGGCGATGACACCCTTCTCTCAATGGCTCTCCGGTTCCCTGCTCAGGTTTGTTAGTTATGTTCAAGGTTTTAAATTACGTAAATTATAAAATCATTTACTGAATTTTCACAAATTACACTTATACCTTTTTTTCTTTTTTACCATTTCAATGATTGTGGTGTCAAGTATTTTTGGAGTTACCACTGTTACATTGGCCGCATTTGTTTGCGATTGCTTGCAACATTACAATGAAATCTCAACTGTGACTTGTTTTAAATTGTGAGGTTTCATCATGTTGTTGGTGCATTGCAGACAAATTTGGCCAATAATGGTGCATGTCTTGTTGTTTTGGAGACTTGCAACATCAAGGTTTGCTAGTTATGTTGAAGGTTTTACTGAATCCGTTGTCAACTTTCTGGAGTTTATTTGACATCAATGGTCGCCTTTGTCAGCAATTTTCTGTCGTCGCGACTGCAATTTAAAATCTTGGGTGAGATACTGCAAATCAGAGCAGGTTTTAAATTGCAGTTGCAGTCGTACAGAGGTTCTGTCATGGTCATGTTCTTCAGTATTGAAGGAAATTGTGGACAAATGTGGTAGACACAGTTACAATTAGAGATTGCAGTGGCCACAGAAACTCTAATAGCCAAAATTACTGTAGCATTCTTTTCTTAGAAACATGTTCCTGACAAGTGTGACTGTCAATGGTCATAATTGCGGTTGCACGGTCAAAATTGTAGTTTCAGACCCAAAATTTAAACCTGTGTTATGATATGGTTCCTTTTGTGCCAAAACAATTTTATGAGAGCATTTTTTATATGAGGTAAATTAGTAAGTGTTTGTGGTGTTACACAGGTACTGGGTTCAGTGGGTGGTGTTCTGGCTATTATGGAGTATATGCCTCAGAAATACAGGCACTTGATTGGGGGGCCTTCTTTGAAGGTTACCTTGCATACTGGAGCTCTTGCAGAAGGGGTGCTGACACTTGTAATCACATTTGTTGTTCTCCTCATCATGATCAAGGGTCCTCGTAGTGACACGGCAAAGACTTTGTTGATGGCAATCTCAACTGTTGTTTTGATCACTGTTGGTTCTACTTACACGGGACCAGCTATGAACCCTGCCTTTGTGAGTGATTACCACTATGTACCTCAATTAATTATAAATTGGTGTTTAATTGTGCTTGAACTGTCTGCTTTCCTCCATTCCTCAACATGCTATTCATGTAAATCTTCTGTGACCTATCCTGCCACTATTCCACTGCCAACCCCTGAAATTTAGAGTAGTACTTTAATTTTATGATTCCCCCTCAAATTAATTGTCTCTTGCTATCAACCCTATGACATCTTCCGGGGCTTTAGCTCCTTTCCATTGGGTAATTCTTGCTATGAGTTTGTCTTCTTCCACCCTTTTACCCCTTTCTCCATCTTAGTGTCACTTATTTTGTTTCACAGAAAAATTTCAGCTACCGTGTCCCATTCCTCCTTACATCAATCTTTGGTTATGTTATTTTGTTTATTTGTAACAAGCGTAGGGTTTAGTAAGTTTTAGTTTGAAGGGAAAATGTTAGAATTCGTTTCCCAATTTCTTCATGCCTCTTAGGATTAGTTTCCTGATTTCCTCTATCTCATAGGATTAGTTATTGTGTTCCCCTAATTAGTTAAGATTATGATTAGTATAAATAAAGGCCAGTGTGTAATGTACAGAACTAAAATAATGATAAAGGAAACTTTGTATCTGTATTATTGAAAACGAGAATTTCATACAATGAGTAAAAAAAAAAAATACCATGTAGCAGTAACACAAAGATAAAAGATAATAAAATGAAAATTGCTCAGAGAAAAGACCAGAAAGAAATCAAGGAAGAAGATTCAAAAAATGTCCATCCATATTCCTCTATTCTATAACCCAAAAGCCATATACGATTCTCTGAGGCGTAAATGTGCACATTTACGCTAACTCTCTTTCCTCTTTATCTTTTGAATTTGTTGTCATCTATATGAAATCATTATTATTTCTTTTTGTGCCAATGTGAATTTTCTCTTTTGCACTCACTAAGTTCTATTCATAGCATTCCTCCCCCTTTAAAATTAACCTTGCTCTCAAGGTTGAAGTGTGAAAAAACTTCCTGCAAGTTGCTTGTGACATGTCCATTCCTTCCCACTGTTGATGAACTTCTTTTTGACCCTAAAGAATCATTGATTGAATTACTGGATCAGAATCAAAGTAAGTGATAGGCAGTGGTATGTAAGTTTAAGCTGTACTGGGTGGATTTTAGTGCAAGTGGTTAACAGTAATCTATAGGTCATTTGGCCCTATGAGATCAATGACTGGGAAAAGGCCAAAGTGTCTTAATCCCATCTTTTAATTCTTTCTCCAAGCAATCGACTTTATCTGCATGCTTCTTCATGTGACCATGAGCCTTGTGGAGTTAGCTTTCAGCCTAAGAAGAATATGATCGCCTTTAGTCAACCGTTCTTCGACAGTAGTAGGATCTTTGTATCAGTGATGTTATAAAACTGGTTCTAGGAAATTATAGTATTCGAAGAACGGAAACAGAAACATGGAACCCAGGACAGAGAAAGGTTCTGAGAACGTAAATTGGAACTGATCTATTTTTACAAGAGAAGCAAGAATATAGGAGAAAACATCCACTATCAATCAAAATAGGTAAAGGTTTTCTTTTTTGTTTATACCCAGTTACTCTCATAGTTCTAAAATTGGCTACCCCAGTCAAAGCATTAACAGAGATTTGTAGGGACTCCCCTTCTACCTCTGAAAATGTTGTCTGTGACGATTTTTTTTTTTTGCAAGACTATTGTGTGACAAATTTGATGAATTTTCCATTACAAATGTACGGTTCTCACTTAGTCAAGTGTTTGCACTCCTTGCAGTCGATTCTTGTTCTTCCAAACCTCTTTAGGAAAACTTTTAGGTTTTTTCTTAACAACACTTAAGATGTTACCTTGAAGAAGTAAGATTCCAAAAAAACAAGGGAAAGAAAAATTATGTTGTTCCTTTAAGTGCTCAAGATGCAAGGAGCAAAACCAAGAAAATCTCAACCAAGAAATGAAAACAAGTAAATAATTTCAATAAGATGTAACAAACTTAAGAAAGCCAATAAAGACAAACAAGAAAATTTTAGGCGAAAATTAAAAGGAAGGTACATAAAAGAATCCTAAAGAATAGTTCTAGAATTAATTAAAAAAAAAAAGACTTATGTTGAATCAATTTTAAACCGACGAAACATATAAAGCAAGATACACTCCCAAACATTTCTTAATTCATGCAATTTTCCAATTCATATACTAATTTAAGAAGTGTGGGACTTAATCATGAGTTCCAAACAAACTTTTTTTTTTCCTTTTCTTTTTTTCTAAGTCTTGGCTTTTACATTCATTTTTCTTTGTTCAATCCTTTTTTTTTTTCTTTCAATTCAAAACTCTGTTTGTATTTACTTTTGTGAGACTTAAGCCTTTTTCAAAGCAACTCACACGGTTTATATTTAACTAAGTCAAAAAAAAGTAGCATGTTCAAGACAATTGATTCAACTTCAAAAATTTAGAGATAATAAAACCACGGCTTGCACATCTTAAAAGCAAAATTTATTTTTGAAATTTTGCTAATAATCTAATAGCAAAAAGAACAATACCAGTCAAAAGTACAAGCCAATACACAACATGGTTCAAGGTTCCTTGGTTTGCAAAGACTCAGTTTTTAAAATGATATAACAACAATTTTATTTTTCAACATATATGGGACAACATCTAGATTGAAAGCTAAGTAAGAAAATCTATAGTTACGCAAGTATACAACATTTTATAGAATTTTCCTATATGTGTTTTCAATTGTGATCCTCATTGACTCCCTTTATTGATGTTTAGAGACCAAGTAGGGTTTATGATTATATATCATTTCATCGTAGTCTGCTTCACTAAAATGTGTGCTATGTTCAAAGAAACATTACTGTTGTTTAACAAATATCTATACAAAATGGATTAACAACAAATGGTTCAGTTATGTTTACATTTCACAATTTTGATACAAAAGAAAAACGGCTAATTTCTTATGCATGTTTTTTTGGTAACACCCCCTCAACCTTTCTGACCATTTTTTCTTTGGGTTCGTAACACATGATGTTAATGCCCGTTCCTTGATGTTGTGAGTCATAGAAGATGCATAGGGAATAACTCAATGATTGGTGTTAATTTTAGGCATTTGGTTGGGCATACTTTGAGAAACGGCACAACACATGGGACCAATTCTATGTATACTGGATCTGCCCATTCGTTGGAGCAATACTGGCTGCATGGCTTTTCCGTATTGTCTTTCCCCCACCACCACCAGTGGTAAAGCAGAAGAAAGCCTGAAAGCCATAGTACATTAAAAGTTCCTTATTATTATTATTTTTTTAATCTTTATTCATTTTTTGTCATAAACCGTTTTGTATTCATCTTGTTTTATCATCTCATGCTCATTCCACATTATTCTGAAGCAGTTTGGGACACTACCTCTCAGCTGATGGTAGAACATTTTTTTTACGAAGAATAATATAAATTGCAAACATGTTTGACATAATTTGTAAAAATATCTATCAAGCTGAATTGAGGTAAACAAAATTATTCATCATAAAAGTACTAGCCAATATGTTTCTGTTTACTTACTATTTCTTGCGTTATATAAAACTAGAAGGTGTCTAAAATTTGGAAGTAAATGGATTAAAGTTTAGTTAAATTCTCGAGTATTGTAGCTTGAGTATTTCTGGGGCCGAACCACCCACGTATGAGGGAAAAACCATGTACTGTCTAAAGTTTCAGAGAATTGTTAAAAGATCATCCCGTGATTTTTATTTTTCGGCCTAGCACTGTGTAACTTTTTACTTTTATTTACATATAGCACACCTTTGTCTCATCTTAAAATTCGGTCTTTCGAAATTCGAATTTTGACCTTCAATTTTAATTTTGTCAGAATAGCAACAGAAATTCGGTTTCTGAATAAATGAATTCTAAGCTGTTTCTTTTTTTTGCATTTTAATTTTGTCAGAATAGCAACCGAAATTCGGTTTCTGAATAAATGAATTCTAAGCTGTTTTTATTTTTTTGCATTTGATTTTTAAAAAATAGGAGAAAAAAAGAAAATAAATAAATAATAAGATGATATAAGAAAAATTATAAAAATAATATTTTATAATTATGGTTGTTTTATCTAAAATAAAATTGACAAATGTATATTTATTTAATAAGTTTGAAGTAAAAAAATGATATATATATATATATATTAATAAATATAAATATAGAAATATATATATATATATTTAATATATATATTTATATATACATATTTATATATTTAATAAATACATATTTATTTAATTATATATTTGACATTTAATAAATGCATATTTATATTGTTTTTTGGATATATGATGATATAACTTTATTAAATATTATATATATATATATATATATATATATATAATTTTTAAGTATTTATTTAATAGTTCTAACAAATATATAATATTTGTATTAAAATTTATTTTATTTAAGTTTGATATAATATAAAATAGAATTGGTATAAATATTTTGTTAAAATTGTAGATATTTAAATTGATGAAAGAAAGTATTAAAATATTATCTATTAAATTTATATAATATAAAAATTATAAAAGATTATAAATCATGACAATGAATATAATCCTAACAATTTTGTGACCAAAATTTGTTGTTAAATATAAAAAAATTTAATCCAAAATAGCTAAAAAAAAAAACATGTTACCAATGTTATATATGAATGTTTTAAAGGGTTTATTTGCCATGATGACAACATTATTTTATCAATGCAATGACAATGATTTTGAGTTAAAAAAAAATTGTTAAAAGAAAGAAAATTTAATTCAAATTAATCCAAAAATCATCAAAGTGACGCATTCAAAATGTATCTTAACAACTTCAACATTCATTGAAACATCAAACATTTATTGAAACAAATTCACTCTGTAACCAAAGAACTCATAACATGCAACTTAAGAAATATTCATCAGGAAGAGGTCCAAATCTTGAATTTCTCCACTATGTTGCATGCACGTCAATGTTACCATGTTCCTTAAGAAAAAAAATATATATATTTTTGGTCAAAAGATATTATTTATTATTAAAAATAATTTGATAAAAATAATATAAATAAGGCTTAATATTGTAGTTAATAAACTAATACATGATTGAATACTTATTCAAAAACCTAACTTCTAAACAACAAGAAACATGAAATGAATTTCGAAAATAAATAAAAAAAATCATAAAAATGTTTTAGATATATCCTTCAATATTTCCATTAATAAGAATTGGAAACTAATTATATTTTTATTTTGGGATTCATTAGATCTTAAAAATATTATCTTTTGATCACATATCAAATAATACAAATATTTTAATAAATAATTAATTATATTAAGCATTTGATTGATCCTATATTTATATAATATATTCAATTTGATGTGTATTATTAAAAAAAATTAAGTCTTTAAATTTTTACATTAATGTTAACTTGATACTTTTATGGCAGATTATTGGAACTTTTAACAATATATGAATCGAAATGTATAAATTTAAGACAAAAATATTTTAGGATAATTACATGAGTCCATCCATATTGCGAGTTGGACTCGGATGCACTTGGTAATGCTACTGCCATTCCCCTTTCACGCACAAAATACCGTTACAACGAAAACACCGTTCTAGCGTAAACATCGCTCCCAGACAAAACACGCGAACTGACACACTCTCTATCCGCCACTCCCCCTCCCAAATCGAACACACACGCACTGTCACTTCCCTTCTTCCCATCTCTCATTCCCGTACCATCAATCATCTCCCTCTTCGTCCCCATCCACGCGCTTCCTTCAAATCCGATTCACATTCAGCACCGGAGTCGCTCCACGTGCTTCGAAGCCGCCCTCCCCATCCTCCTCCACCGCCCAGATCCGCTTTCGATCCTCCTCCTCCGCCGAACTCCTCACCGCTGAGCTGGAGCTCGAAACCACCAAAATGCTCAAGCGCTCTGGCCGGCCGCCGCCGCCAGAGTCGCTCACCGAAAAGATCTACCAACTCCGGGGAGCGTTCCTCATGGTGGCGGTCCCGCTCCTCCTCGTCACGCTCGTGCTCTACGCCATGCCTTCCGCCTCCACCAACGAGTCCATCGAAGACTACGCCCTCACGCACCGCAAGGCTGCACCCGATCGGAAAACCTCCTTCGCCGTCATCTTCGACGCTGGAAGCTCTGGCAGCCGCGTCCACGTCTTCCGCTTCGACCAGAATTTGGATCTCGTACCCATCGGGAATGACCTCGAGCTTTTCGTTCAGGTGAGTGAATATGGTGGATTTGCGTTTCTTTCGAAATAATTTGCACTATCTCCAAAGTAGTTATTTTCAAAGAAATTATATAATTATTAAGATTTAAATAAGATTCAGGCGTGATCATTTATACAAGTATCTAAGAATTTTATTTTATTTTAAAATTATGTTACCTTGGGAATTAAAATAAATCAAATCTCTTCAAATATGCTTTTTATACTGACATGAGATATATCTATACAAAACAAGTGACTTAGATAAGTTTTAATTTCCCAAATCGTATATATTTGTCTCAAAAGTTAAACATGATACAATCTAGAGTATGTAAATAAAAAATTGGGTACGTCCATTTTTGTACGTCCTTTAGTCTTTTAACATTTGCCTCTTTCCATTTTTGGTCTTTTAAAAAGAGATAGTTGCTTTAATGACTATAATAAAAATAATAAGGGTGTTAAGATTAATTGATAAGTAGGTCCAAAAAATAAACAGATAAAAATTTATGATCTAAATTAAATTAAATTTATTTTAGTTTCATATGTTATAATTTATATAAGTTTAAGTAAAACTAGACGATAGATTTTATTTTTTAGAATAATCATTATTTTTAAAATAAAAATTAAGATAATATTATTTTATTAAAGAATATATATATATATATATATATTATAAATGAATTTAATAAGATATTAATTTATTTTAAGAATAAATATTAAATTAATTTTTATTATTAACTTACTTTAAGATGTTATAATTAAAATTAATTATTATTTTAAATTAATAAATTAGTAAAAAATAAATAATAATAACGAAAAAATAAGTTTTTAATTTTTATTTTAAGATTAGATGAATATTCTCTTATACTTATATAATTATTAAATAAAAATTAATTTTATCGATATAATTTTAATTTTAAAAATATATTTTTTATTTAAATAATTTTTAAAATTTTTAATTAAATCAAAATTCATCTGTTAATTTGTTGATTTATTGATAAATTAAATTAAAAATTATGATCTATTTTAAAATATAAATTAAGTTAAATTATCAATTTTTTTAGTATCAAACTAAGTTGTACCATAAACTAAGTTGTACCATAAGGACGAGCTTAAAAAGAATTATAATATTAATTTGTCTCATAAAAAGTGAGTTGACTGAAGTAGTAGAATAGCCTATTACATTCTTTTAAATAATTAATTTATTATTATTTTTAATTAATTTTTAATAAGCTTAATAATAAAATCAATGTTTATCTCTCCATCATCCAATAATTTATATATATAATGTTAATAATATGTTTTAATATATTACATTAAAAAATTAAAATTTAGAATATTAACGTATATAATAGTAAATATGTAGGTAATGCGAACCTTATATGATCATCCTGTTATTTTAAATATAATAAAATAAAAATGAAAATGAACCAAACGTGTTATGTAAGCTAAAATTAACTTATCCACCTTAGTTTTTAATTTTTAAGAAATCTAAATGTAAAATATTTATTGAAAAAAAAATGCATGGATTAAGATTGAAAAAAATAATATCAATATCCACCTAAAGAAGTGAAGTGAAAATGAGAGAGAAAAGAAAAAAGAAGAAGAAGAATATTTAGTCTGATTTAACTCGTGAGTTTGTGAAAATTTTCTGAATAGTTTCACATCAGAAAAATCTATTTTAGTCCAAACATGAAAATATTGAATTAATTCAGGTTTCTTTTGACAAACTTCTCCATAAGTTAAATTTGATTTATGTATAAATTCATTTTTTCTTCTCATATAGATGTTTATAAATAATTTTGTATAAACAAATTCATAAAATAAATTGTCGGTAAAAATATGATTGTAGTCTATAAGCTGACTTTTAGTCTAGAATTTTTGGTCCGATTTTAGTTATCTCGAATCTTGAAATGCCCCACTTTTAATCCTCGAAGCATTATGTAAGATCACTTTTTATTCTTTTATTAATTGCTATCTAAGCCACCTGAAGGACTAAAAATGATACATTTCAAAATTAGAAGAACCAAAACTGAATAAAATTTTGAAGGTGCTAGAACTGAAATTGTAGAATTTAAAAAGAATAAAAATATATTTTACCCATAAATTATTTATTCATAATTTATCTAATAAGTAGTAACGACCTATGCTTCTCTAATTTTGCTGCCAAAAACTTGTTAACTAAGTTTGTGGAATTTTGTGTTTGATATTTTTCTATATTGAAATATATGGAAATTAATGTTTTACATTTCTTTATATTTTGTAGTTGTTTGTGTTTAATCATAATATAATTTAAATGTGGCTAAGTAGTCAATTTATCTCGTTTCAACTTAACTTGCTTTGATATAAGAAAACGGAGTAAGATAGACAGCCCCGTCACAGGTGAGGGTTATGACCTATCCTACTAGACTGATAGGCGATTATTTTATATAAAAATATATATTTAAAATATCTATGTAAATAATTTTCAAATATTCAATGGTTAATTAATAATTTTTATGGATAAATTGAAAAATTATTACTTTTAATATTGAATTACTTAATTATAATTTTACGAGCGGTAATGATTTAAATTAAATATTATTATATATTTGCCTTACATAAATAAGGCAAGCCATGATGTTTTGTGTAAAGAAAACAGGGTCGTGAAACCTTTTTCTAATAACCTTGATGATGGTGTTGCAGATTAAACCTGGTTTGAGTGCTTATGCACAGAATCCACGACAGGCAGCTGAATCTTTGATTACTCTATTGGATAAAGCTGAGAGTGTTGTGCCCCGGGAGTTTCGGCCAAAGACACCTGTCAGAGTTGGGGTGAGTGTTGTTTTTATTTTTTTTATATTCATGTTTATATGGGTATCTGAATTTTTTGTATTCTAATACAGGCAACTGCAGGGTTGAGGGCTTTGGAAGGGGATGCTTCTGACAGGATTTTACAAGCGGTAAACGTTGCTTGCTGCATCTTGTTTCATGTTTAATACCACTAGGATATAGTAGCCATACTCGACCTTTTAAACTTATGTTGCTTCCACGATTTGTGAATATAAGGTTCGGGATTTGCTTAAGCAAAGAAGCACACTAAAATCTGAGCCTGATGCGGTAACTATGCTGGATGGAACACAAGAAGGTGCTTTTCAATGGGTATGCTTTATGAACTTATTAACAGATTTAGACTAGAGGAGAGAATATGCAAATTACACGCTTAAGTGACATCGAATGGGTAGTTAGAATACATTTGCTCTAAAGAGCATTTTAATATCCTGAAAACCTGTAGTAACCTCATTATAAAACCATCTATAGTCACTGACAAATATATTAGAAAAAGAAATCTGTACACTACACCATTATAAGTGGCTGAAATTTCTCAATTAGCATAAATGATTAACTCACTGACAATGTAATTCTAAGGTTGTTTGCAAGATTTTAAATTTCCATCTAGTTGGATAATGCTCTGTTGTTGTAACGTGACATTGCCCTTTACTTTACTGAGAGTTGGACTTTAATCCTGATTTAGCCATTAGTGATGTAGCAATTAGAAATACAATGAGTACTATTTGTTAGAGTTATTGGATTTGGAAAAGAAGAAGAACTGAACTTCTTCTATTATCTTTCTCAAGAAAGATACAACAAAAGAAAAACTTATTGTAAAACAAATTGTTGAATACTTCGTTTCATCCCGAATCAAAACAAATTTATTGTCAGTCTTATTGTAAAACAGCCATGGCGTAAATAGATAGCTTTCGCCAACTGCCATAGTAAGATGGTAGCATAGCGGGTTTTGCATGGCAGCCGCATTGGCTGTCACGGCATGGCGGCGCAGAGCAATTATTGTGAAAATTGCACTCCGAAAGCCTTACAGTGTAGAGGAAGCTCTCGTGGCCATGCCACACGGTTCATGGGAAGAATAAGTTTATGTGCTTCACTTGACCCAACTTAAAATAAACCTAGGGTTCTTTGAATGTGTTTTATGTTTATGGGATTTTTTTGGTCTTAGCCCAATAGAAAAAAGAATTAACATAAACCTGCAACAAGCAACAAAAAAAGGTTAGAGAAGGGTTATTTTACACGTTCCATCTAACTCAACACTTCTCATCTTCCACACACTACCATATTTTCTTTCCATTCTGTAGGCATTGCCGCGTGTTAGGAAAAATTGTAAAGTCGTCAGTCACTTCTGACTAGGCTACTAGGTGTCATATGAAAGGGTGTTGGGAGTCAGCTTGCTATATAAAGCAAGGCTGTTGTATAGATTGTGTGTGGATTTTCTCAATTTCATTCATCTCTTGTATTCTTGTTTTGTTTCAATATACTTTTCTTGGAACTCTTTCTCCTCTTCCCTATTTTTGTTCCAGTTCTTCAGGTGCAACCAAGGTTATCAGACTTGAAAGTCTACATAAACTCATGGGAGGTCTGTAACCTCGACTCGTAAGAGTATACTTTATATGAAAAATACTAATTTAACAATAATTATGATAATATCAATTCCACATTACTGAAATAAATAAGTTCATATAATAATACTTCGATCAAATATAAGTTTTTAAAGTGATAAGATAACACCTGAAATAAATAACTACAAAACGCAAATGTTATCAAGTTTATATGTCTTCATCTAATCCTCTAATGAAATATCTCCCCCATGATCTTCATCAGCATCTTCATTATCACCATCAAGTTCTTCCTCCTCCGATGAGAAGTGTGCATCAACATTAGGATCAAAAACTATATTATCAAACTCAAGTTCATCTAAAGTTGGATCATATGAACTTGGTCCAACTAAGTCAACATTTCCACCATCACTTTCCACTTGAGTTTGCTTCGAGTTATCCATTCATCATTTGACTCAATATCATCAAATGGAAAAACAACATTTTTCCTAATTTGTTTATTTTCAACTTAAAGTTATATATGACATAAACCAAATCATTCATCTTTTTCTGGTGCAAACGGTTTCATCTTTTTGTATGAACCTATAATTGAAGAATCAATTTTAATAAATATATAAACAAAATCAAGATAATTAAAAAATAAATAATTATGTAAACTTAAATTACCATTTCAAATAAGCTCCAATTACGTTCACACCCGGAAAAGCTACAAGTTAAGCTTAAAACTCGAATAACAAACCTCTTCAACTCTGGAGTTCCATTCCCAATCATCTCCCACTATTCTCCTAGAACCATCGCTTTCCTACAATCCTTTGCATCTTCCATAGAAAAGAGTCATTTTGCATAATGAAAAGTCAATGAGTTGTAAATTGATTTTTTTTTTCTTTCTACAATATTATTAATCAATCTTTGCATGCATGTATACAATCCTCCTTGTTAGAAATGTAGGCTGAGATCAAGAGGGGGGATGAATTGATTTTTGAAAGATTTTCGCAATTTACAGAATACAGATTATCTATTTCAAAGATTTTGAATTCTGATCACTTCTTGGATCAAGAAAAATAAGCAATTCAATGTAAGACACAAGAGAGAAAAAGTTTAGAGAAAGACAACCAAGATTTATACGGGTTCACCCAAACCACAAGGCTACATCCACTTCTCAGCCAAATTCCAGCTGAGTTCCACTAGATTGAATGTATTACAAATTACAATTCCAAATCTCACAACACCCAATCTACCACAAGAACCAAATTTCAGTTCTTGCACCTAAACCTTCATCAAGAACCAAATTTCAGTTCTTGTTCAAACCTGTAACCAAATTCCAGTCACAAAACCCGTGCCCAACAATTCTAGACACCAACAATTCAGTAAAGAAATAAAGAAATCAAAAAGGAAGAAATCAGAACAATCAAACCCGATTTATACGAGCTCTGCGAGTATGAGTTTCTTTATAAAAAGAAAGCAAAAAATGTCTCAAGAAAGAACTTTGTAAAACTCCACAAAACTTGCGCGATTCTTTCTTGAAAATCTCTCTTATGATTGCTTGATTGATTACTAAAAGATTATATTTAAAAGACTGAAGCAATTTTGTTTATATAGAGTTATTTTTCAACTGCTGATTTAATTAGTCGGTTAAAACTTTCTTTTAATCGATTTATTAAATCTTGATTAATCGATTAATTCTTCTTTTAATCGATTAAAATGTGCTTAATCATTTTCCAGATTTATTTTAACTGATGCGATGACGTTTTAGTTGATTAAAACCGTTAAAGAAATTTTTTTTAAGTTGTTTTAATCGATTGATTCGCGGTTTAATAGATTAATATTCTGCCAAAAATTTTCACAAAACTGCCTAAGTGATTTTAACTGATAACAACAAGTTTTAATCGATTAAAACACTTGGCAAAAATTCTCTTTAAGTTGTTTTAATCGATTAATTCGATTTTACATCGATTAAAATTCTGGTAGAAGATCTTTCAAAATATCTCAAGTCATTTTAATCAATTAATTCGAGTTTACATCAATTAAAATATTGCTAGAATACTTTTTAAAACACCTTAAGTGATTTTAATCGATTATTTCGAAATTATATCAGTTAAAATACTGGCAGAAGGTTTTCAAATACTCCTTTAGTGAAAATAATCGATTAATTCGAATATGTATCGATTAAAACAGTTCCAATGAATGTTTTAAATGATTTTAATCGATTATTTCGAAAACATATAAGTTAAAATTCTGTTATGAATGATCCTAGCTCATTTTAATCGATTAACCTTATATAGTATCAGTTAAAATTATTTCTTAAGAACAGTTTAATCAATTACATTGATTTTTAACAGATTAAAACATTTTTAGAAGCATTTTCAAATTCTTTTAAATGATCAAACCTCATGCAGCAGAGAGATATATGAATGAATACTATTAATATTGCTGATGACTCACTAAATACTCTACCCTTAAACCCAAGTAGTCTTTGACTTCATCAAATCCACAAGATCTTCATTCTATCATAAGGTTCAATAAGATCTTCATCACTTTCACTCATTTCACCTTAGGATCATCATTTCTAAAATTAGGCTCATAGTGCAAATGGGGATTAAGGTAATAAGTTGCTACATGCAAAAGTCTATAGAGTTGATTATCCCACCTCTCATCAATGATTTTCCAAACAGGTTCATAACTACAAAAATACCAATTATCCTATATTAGAAGTTGGTTACAAATGAAGTAATTAAATTCTAAATGATGTAATATAAGGTTTAAAATTTTTACCTTTTCTTAATATTATTGAAGTTATTCTTAATCTTCTCCTTTGCACAATACATCTCTTCATATATGAAACTCATTGTAGGTTTTGTATCTGAATCCACCAATCGAAGGACCACAAAAAGAGGGGCAACAACTTTTAGGCATGTAATTACATTCTTCCAAAAGTGACTATCTAATACAATGTTCTAAACTTTTCTCCCCTCTTGTGAGGTCCCAAATTTGCTTGTTTCCCATTCTTGAGAACTAAACATACTCATCAATGATGCTTTCAAATTGAAGACAAGCTAGAGTCAAATAAGTTGTGGCAAATCTAGTCATACCATGCCTTATCAAGTCCCTTCCATTTGTGAACTTCTTCAATATACTAATTAACATTGTTCTACCATAAATGTAGGTAGTAATCCTTCTTCCATTCTTGATAGTTACTTGGTAGACCTTCAAATGTTTCTCAAAATCTTCAAAGATCAAATCAATATAATGGGCAGTACATGGTGTCCAATGTAGATGCTTTCATTTTTGCATTAACAATTCTCCAGCTGTCTTGAAATTTGCAGCATTACAAGTAACCACCTGCATTACGTTGTCTTCTCTAACAAATTCCACCGCATCAACTAACATCTTAAAGACCTTATATGTAGTCTTTGAGATGTCTGAGGTATCCAATGAATAAAGAAACACAGTTCCTTTAAGACTGTTCACCAGAAAGTTACAAATTGAACGCCTTTTTTTATCTGTCCACCCATCAGACATAATTATACAACCTGTTCTCTTCCACTCATCCCTATACTCTTGAAGAATTACATCAGTTTTTTCCACTACTTGTTTTAGAAGCTTCTCCCTAACATCATGATAAGATGTCTTCTAGGAAAGGAAAATAAGAAAAAATGGAATGAGATTCTCCATAAGCTAAAAATTAGTTTATCCATAGAAGTTCCCTCATATATAATTGATTATTTAACTTGTGCATAATCTAATTTTTATTTTATGGTGGAGTTCATTCCAATTTTTTGTTTTTATTTT